TGTCCAGATTGCCTGAGTGAATTTCTGGAGGTGTAGGCACCTCGGAATGATTGTGTTAAGCTAGCACTAAGTCCCTCCCCCATCCACCTTTATTCTTTTCTTTACAATAAGGCTTTCAAATAAGTCATGGCTGTACGGCAGTGAAGCATTGGTGTTGAGCACTGATGTCATGCTGTCGTTGATGATGATGATGACTGCCCTGACAATAGTTAGCTCTGAGAATCACTTCAAAAACGTTTGGATATAGAGTGACCTTTTGGCACACTACCCCTCTTGGATTGCGTGTCACATAAGGTCCGGGGAAGATTATGAGACTAACTGACATTGGGGAGATTTTGAACTACTCGTCTGTCCATCGAAACTTACTATTCACCAGTTTTGCCTCATCAGTATTTAACAGAGCAGGGGCCCTGTGCACAGAAGCAGTTGATTTGAGAGCAGCCCAAAATGAAGTGATTAACCAACTTCTGGGTAGTGGATATCCGGCTAGCCCTATTACGCCTCGTTTACAAAGGAGGTTGGCACCAGTGTCGAAACCCAAAAGTGGATGAATTATTCCGTATACAACGCGGACGTCGTTAATCGTTTAAAGGTTTCTGAACAAGGTTAAACTAAGATTAGAATCCAGAAGGTAAACAGTCTGCTCCCTGCACTGGTGCGATCGAAGGATCACCTCCAGGTGAACAGAACCAGGGACTGTATCAACAAAATTACATGCAATGGCTGCATGAAGGTCTATACACGACAAATGGTGGGGGAAACGAAGAGCAGGACAAATAATAAACAGGCAACTGAGAAGAGCCTAGTGTCAAACATTACTGAAAGACTCAACAAGGGTGAGTCATGCGTCGGAAACAAGACATAAAATATATTTACAAAAATGTCGACGTTTTGAGGAGAGGACTGAGCTTTACGCCACAAAGACTGATGACCGAGGCGGTGGAAATTGTCTAGAATCCCAACGTAATCAGAAAAGAATGCGTAGAACTAGCAAGCTTGTGGAGAAAGGGTTCAGATCAGTCGAGCTGTCACGCGGTGGTGTCCGGTTATCAGAAAAACCAGCCACTAAGAGAAGTTGCTAAAATCTGAAATGCATGATCCAGACCGACCGACCAAATATTCCATTTATTCTCACCCCCCCCCGCAACTAAACTGTCATGGCATTCACAAGCCCACACAGACCAACAAAACTTACCAAGATGAACCATCAATTGAAGCACCTTGAACCGGAAGATAAAGGAAATAAACCCGATCAAAAATGATTTGAGATTCCCCCAACACATCAACCGTAATATTCAGGTAACCACATTAACGGACAAGACACTTTGACTGACATTCAACACTGATCTAGTACGCTAATCCGAAGAGGACTTACTGACTGGTTCTCCGTTAGCCTTGAAACTTCACCCAAATGGTGACCTGTTCACTTGGTCTGACAAAAATTTTGCGTCAAGACTTTCCCCAGTTAAAAACTACCTATTATTTTCCAAGCCCGTCAGAAAGTCTTGAGAAAGTGTTGTGTGAGCCAGAAACCAATTGACCACAACGGCATACACAATTTTCAAAACAGTCAGGATGGTTTAGAGGTTCACGGCGTGGTTTATTACGAGTACTGAAGATTTACAAGTTCACTCCCTCCTTGGAAAACTTTTGATCGCATTTTCATAAAGGAAACTACTCACAAGGTTGCTGAAAACCCTTCGACAGCCCACAACCGGTTTCGCCCTTCTTGGGGCTCATCAGGTAGGCGCAGTCTCCAAGTTTCCGTCAACCTTATGTTCTACTTGAACCCAAATTGGACTGTTCTCGAGACAAACACTCATTTGCAAATCAATTTGGTTTCCACGATATGATATTTACGACTGAGTGTGCTGCACACAGGCCGCCTCATGATTCAGTTGGCACGATATTCGAGATATCGCAATATATTTTCATAAAGGCAGCACAATCAGTTGGAGGAAATCATAAACGAGAGATTCAGTTGAGTCTCCCGTGAAAATCAAATTTTAATCGCATCATTTCTGAGTGCCCACGTATTGAAGTAAGTTGGAACCAATGATAGCGAGACTACGATGCAGGATTCTCATCACTTTTAAAATCGGCCCACAAAAAAACAAACCAAAAATGAAACAGCTGAAGTTCGTACAGGGACTGGAAACATCACCAATAAAGATACAACATCGAGAAAGCTATAGTTTCACGAAAAACGCTCCCGATTTCTCCGTAGTAATCACATGATAAACACACGTTCTTGCAATTGAATGCCACTCGAGATCTCTGAAGGCATGCTTTCAAATGCAGATGCATCAGGTAATAGAGCCGAATTCAGAAGACACAAGTAAATGCTGCCAATGAAAGCTTTACCAATCCACTACCGGTCATTCGACCAGGTGGCTGTTGATTTGTTCGTCGAAATCGGCAACCAGCTTGCGAACGTCTGGTTGGCATTAACACAATATCTTGAACTGCTAATGAGACGCAACAAACTACTCCAGAAAATGACACTTCACCCACTTACCATCCAGTTTACTATTTCAGTTTGGGTTGTGGTCGTTTTCTCCGGAAAGGGACTTCTCGTGAAAGCGACCGAGTTGACACGACCCCAGCCCTTTGTCAAAACACAATTGGTGAGACTAAACAGATGGCCATAAAACATTCACTTCCACCCAGTTTATAAAAACATTCCACGTTTTCCACACCTGCATAATAAGTAAACTTCTTGGAACTGGATACATTAGTAAATTATAAATCACCAATAGGAAGCCTATCAGGACCAACCTTCTATCGCTCAACCCCTCCCTTAATGGTGAGAAATAGGCAATGAAGTTTCCAGGCTTTTATCTGGCCCACCTACGTCTGCCTAGTTTCAGGTCAGGTCCCAATGTGCCATATTATATGGCAGTCGTTATCACCCGAGAGATTCTTCAGACTACCCACTCTGGCTGTCTGGAGGCTAATTATGATAACAGTGGGCGTAATCTGTATAAGACAGGGACGAAACGAAGAAGTGGGAGTAGGTGAAACTTGATTGGGCACCCAGTTCATGAATGCATTAGCTCGGCATAGGCTTTTTCCTATCTTTACAAACATGCGCTGTGTGCCAGCTGAAAAGTAATGTTGGAAATGCATGCCTAAACTTCAATCGCTTGTCTCATCAAAATCCTGCAAAGCAAAAAATAAGACGAAATCAGGGAGCACTCATCAACTGATCCAAACACCGGGAGAATTGGACCACCAATCAACATTGTCTCATTTCGGCACCTTTTGAGACCCCCAACCTCTCACCCCAAAGGTATATTTTGCCCGGAAGGGAAACCTTCAATCGATGGAAGAAATGGAAATTACTCATTTCCATTAGTTCCATCACCTGTCGGCCTGTGTAAACCAACAGTATTGCTGCTTAGATTAGCATGAAGGAAGTGAATATCATGCACACACCAAAATAGAGCACAGAACAGAGGTGCTCTGTACGGTGGAAGGCCCGCATTATTGCCAAGAATTGACCGCTGAACGACCTCTGAGGTGCAGTTAGCCAGGATCACTTTCAGTGGGATCGAGTGTACTACTGCGCTCAAGTCACTGATGTCAACGTAAGTTTGAGGGAGTGAAATCAACAAACTAGACACACCAGTGTCAGTTGATAGCCACCAGCCCGCTGAAGCATAATGGTATAAAAATGGATGGCGTTATTATTAATGCTTCGTCATTACGATACTGAAACCATCCTTCAAGCCCTTAGATTTGAGGCGGAAGATGGTGCTTCTCACAAGTAAATTGAACTATAATGTTTACCGGAGCTTCCTGCTACTTGCTTTATTCTATATGATAATGTCCAGTTGAACATACAAAAGAAAACAATGCTATGTATTCACGGGCACTGGACTTTGTATGCATCGCAAATGCCATCCATTGAAGCACCCTTGACTTAATCACATCTCCAACTATTCACATAATCTCTGCATAGGCAGTAAAAAGTCAGTTTCAGGGTACCAGCCGTTTATTCAAAAGACCATATACCTATGCCAAAATATCACACCAGAATATATCACAAAGTGAAAATTCATTAGTGCTGGGACGAGTCACTGCAAACGGGCATAGGTATATCATATTCATTCAATAACGATTAATTCAAGATTGGTCAGGCGGTCTGTGTCAAACTCGTTTCCATGCGTATGAACAAAGTTTGTTATGAACTCACTTTGAAAATACATTTAGATCCATAATTTGTGGCCGAACAAAGAAAACCCCGAGGATGTCCACAACTTACCTTTTGTCCATAGGTGTCACGCGCAGTAAGATAAGTTCTCCTGTGTTCACGGACTATGTTTGCATCGTGTACTTTGTTTGAACTCCCTAATTTAGACGATAAGAGCGTATGCGCCCTCCGTAAACAGGAAGGCAGTACCATTTGGTATCAAGACTATACACCAGTCCAACATGCTATAAGCATTGTAGTACATGCTGGGTCCTCACTGAGCATCCTTTGTACCGAATTACTAGAATCTAATTAGAAAAGCAAAGCGTCAAACTTTGGATGGTGAAACTTCATCTACTTGAGAAATGGTATTCTTTATCTAGCATTTATTTTACATCATAGATAGATTGGAAAAAAATACTCGCGAAGGTTCGTCAAGCTTTGGTCAGCTGATAATAACACGCTTACCGAGTCCCCATATTAGCGATCTGCCCGGTTCAACTCGACTCGATCGATTACCGCATCGATCCAACCACAGACTGTCCTTCGTTCAAATTTACTTACCTACAACCGGACCTGGAGCGGTAAATTTAGTTTTGTAAGTGAGGTAAACTCACTGCCATTTTTAGGCTTAAGAACAAGGCGTACAGGCAGAATCGCTCAACCATATAGTGCATCCACGTACGAACCAATTTTTCCGTATGTTCCCTTAGTGGATTACTGTAAATTCATATCAGAACCGATACATACTACCAAATAGAATTGTGTCCATTTCACTGAGAAAACTCCAGTGACAAATACAACAATGAGTCTGGGCGCCATAAGCGATCAACTGCCAACATATCCGAACAATATACAGGGAGAATTACGCCTTATCTTGCAGACCAAAGATGTATTCCTTGTGTGCTACAAACATCTGGAAGAGTATCGACGACTGGTCAACGAACAAAATCGACTTATCACAAAGGAGTTTGTGCAAGAACAACTTCAGATGGGTGAAGACGAAATTTCTGAACTTAAAATGGAGCTGCAGGATGCCGAGTCACAATTAAATGCCCGACTGCGTCATAATGAACTTCTGGCCGATCACCTTGCGGGATTGGGTTTTGGATCACTGGAGACAGGCGGTAGTGCACGCCACATGGCTCTCGTTCGTTCACCTCAGATGCGGAAAAATATGCTGGCTCAACGAGGAGCAGGAGCAGGCGGTGTATCCGAAACTCGTCCGCCAACTCACATGATCGATAACATCGCATTAGCCATGGCTGAAATACACCAAGAAGTGAGGTCGAAGGTGAAGCCATTACTTGATTACTATCGCGATCTGTTCTATCTCCAACTTCACTTCAGCCTGGTTTTGGGACAAGTATGCAACTACTGTATGCCTTTGGTAACTGAGAATATTGGTTTGATAGATAGGATCTTCTTCTGGTCTGAGCGACCAGAGTTTGATTTGGTGCGCAGAGCAGGTGACATCGGGGACCGATTGAAAGAAATCTACACAAGAGCCCAAACTGTACTCGGTGTACTGGCCGAATCTGTGCGATTCTTACAGTCGAAAGTCGAGTTGCAAAAGACACTTGAACAACGCTTTCATGAACGTCTGGATGAACAACAAAAGACGAAAGATAAGATTCTTCGCGATGTTCACACCACGAAACAAAATATGGATATGTTGGAAGAAGAAAACGACCGTCTGGTTGGTAGTCTAGTCAAGGTAGACCCCAGCTTTGTGGACAGCCGGCACTTCTTTGAACTTGCCGAGGGTGGTGGCAATCTAACGGGCAACAAAAAGCCTGGAACTCCAAAAGGAACAGCCCAGAATAACGCTGAAGATAATCAGGAATTTAGTACTATATCACCAGTCCGACATCGCTCGCAGACTCGTGAAGGATTTGACCGTGACACCCAGAGAGACGCCGTCACTCCCGTTCGACCTGGTCGACGCGGACGGGATCTAGCAACACCGTCTGTTTTGGACAACCCAATGGATGAAATGAACAATAACAAAGCTATAAGCGTCGCAAGTGATGCGCCCGCACGAGTGGTGGAGAATAAGGTGTTAAACAAGAAAAAGGTAGACCAGGAGGAGCTCGATGCCTTGTTGAAAGAGGTCAGATCGAAAATATCGGTGGTAAAAAGCCGCGCCAGAGAAGGTTCCCGGTCTGCCAACCGTAATAATGTATCTGAAAGTTCTGGTTTAGTCAGTTCGGTTGGAGACACAGGGGATAAATTAACAGCAACTGAAACCAGATCTGAAACAACCACCCCTATACCAAAGAACCGGGTCCGCCGTGCAAAGTCTCGTCCAAGAAGTAAACCACAAAAAGGGGAAGAAAGGGATAATAACTCGCCCATCAGGATCTCCAAGACTAAGATGAGGCGAAGAGCTACTAGTGTGGAGCGACCAGAAAGGCTTGTAAATACGAAGAGACATCGTCCTAAGAGTACTGTTGACGAGCACAGAAATCGAGAAGCAGAAACTACTCACCGCCGCAAGCACGAAAGAAAGCCCCTAACGCCCGAAAAAATCCCTAATCTTGAAGAGCTCAGATCCACTTCCGCCTCTACGGCTGCCGGGGACAGTGGTGAACAACATATGCCTCGTACGGGCAACTTGAAATCTCGTCTCTTGGGTCGAACAAAAGACATTCTTGAAGCGGCGCTGCATCGTTCTTCAAAAACCAGCATCAGTACCGAGCCAGTGACGAAATCCGTAAGAGAAATAGAGTCTTCCAACTCAGCCGGAAATGTAGATCACGAAGATTTAAATAATGATGCCGTGACCAGTGTTTCCTCATTTGCTTCTCTCCTGGTTCCGGACTCATCCCTGGGTGAACCCGGCCTAACTCCCCCAACACCCATCATCCCAGTCAGACAGCTGCGTGCTTTGGAGCCGAAGAATGCCAGTCGACATGGAACAGAATCGCGAAGACTTTTCCGGAAAAGTCGAAAAGGAAGCCATGTTGACATACTCGATCTGGGACAACAGCCACTCCCAGCTCTAGGATCAGAAACCTTACTTACTGAGTCAGGTGCTAACGAAATTAAAAACTACACACTGATGAATAGCCTTGATACCATAGATACATCCCGACCAAAACGACATCGAACAAAGAGAGGAAAGAGTCAGACAGGTTCACCTTTGGGAGATTTTCTCTCCGGAACTAGCCTCGGTCCCTTGCCTTCAACATCCGCACCAACTTCGCCCGCATAATGTAGCCAAAACAACACATACTACTTGACTCTACAACCATTCCTCACTTACTGTCCGTTACTGAGTTCGCAACATCTTGGTCTGTATGTGTTCCTGCTTCAGTCTATCCATACAACCTCATCTACCCGTTGTGGAGAGGTCTTCAGAACACACCGCATACCAGTTAAGTTTCAAAACATGTGGAGATGATTTACTGACCAGCTGTCAACTGAGAGTGTAACGTGCTGTGGAACAACTACATGGATATCCACCTATGCAGAGAATAGGTGGTTTTGTCCGAAACGCAGCAGTGGTTCGAACGTACAGATATTCCGCGAAACTAATCAAATGGGATAGCAAACTGCATCATACCAACAACACTTCTTTGTGTCTACCGATAAACTTATCCATTTTCGTTTGTCCACGGTACGTTGTAACAAAAACGTCTCTCCTGTCTGTGCATGTTGTTGGATATCACAACTGATAAACACTACGACTACCATTGAATTGAGACTTGATATCCAATAAAAAGTTGTCAACCAGGTGACAAGTGCATGTACGTTTTGTTTTGAACGCGAAGTTGACGAAGAATGTGATCTTTTTGTGGTGTCTAACCACGGCTATATCAGAGGGGCTTGAGTTTACTGGATGGGAGCTCACTGTGTCACCTGAGGTAGAGCTAGCGCCTTAGTCGTAGGGGAGAATTACCTCATTAGCAAGTCTGTCTCTCCGCCCGGCCATGAAGTAAAGTGATTCCGGGGAATTCTCAGCAGCCTAAAAGGATTACTATCAGTCTGCCTTTAGGCCAGGGCAGAGTGGAGAGTGGTAAAGTCATAAATGGTAGTGTAGAGAGATCTGTGGAGCAAATGGTCGCATGTAGTCAAAGTTGTGCGTATTACAACTCCTAGTCAGGCTGGAACAGAAGGAACAGTCTTCCTGAGCACCGACACACCCCAGAAGAGTAAGCGGATGCGGTCGTAAACACGTCGATTGACTGCAACCAAAATCGCACGATTTTACTCATATGTATCAACGAAAGAAGTGTTCGTGTCCGTGCGGTCGTAAACACGTCGATTGACTGCAACGAAAATCGCATCAACGGAAGAAGTGTTCGTGACCGCGATTAACCGGTGGTTGTTGACGTCAGTAAAAAAGTTATAATTAAAGGACGAATTAAACCCCAGCCAATTTTCCGGCTGGAATAACATAAATGAAAGTACGTTTTACCTCTCGAATAAAGGTGTTTGCCATAGGTCCCTTACTTGAATCCAGGTACACGGATAACGATGAAGTGGGTGGTTTGTATGTGAAGAATAGGTAAGCCATCGGGTTAGTAGTAAATTGGTAGTATTATAACTAGCACAGAGATCTTGAAGACGCTGGGCCACGAACTCAGAATTTATGTTGGGATTTTATTGATTCTCCGCTGTAATCTATGCTGTCCACCTGGAATGTGAACGTGGACCATTCACCAGTTGTAAGCATATCGTGACGGGCTGCGTGGTTCGAAGGGATTTGAGCTGAAGGTTTTCTGCAACTTTGTCATGTCAAATCTGTTGTGCCGTTAAACTACGGGTAGTGAAGCATAGCAGTGTGTGCTCACCATACGGCTCAATCGATCGTCACAATCTGAGTTTCCGCGTCTCGTAGCCTAGATGAACCTTTCTACTTGATGTCACGTCGTAGCGAGACACCCAACAGATGACAACTGTGTCGTTGCTGCACTTTAAAGCCTTATTTATTCATTCTCTGAACAATGGCACTATCTCAACTTGGATAAGTTGACCAAATGGGCTCAAGTTCTATAATCAGATATCCTTTTAAGCAACGCCCTTCAAAGGTCATGTACTGCCAGGCTGTCTTTCGTGTGGGCAACAAACTACATGACAAATGTATGGCCATTGCACGATACCCGCAGTTAAAGACACATGCTGTCCGATTTGATAAGCTCGCAGTGGACCTTCAATGAGCAAACCAAGTAAAATAAACAATCGAATAGATGTTCTAATTCTCATAGTAGCACGAGAATCGATTTCGCTTGGCTTACAATAGTAGGCTCTTTTGACGAATGAACCATAGCAAGTGACCGTTACTTAAGAGACACAACAACGTCATTGCTTTGCTGTCATTCCACGGAATACTCCTAAAGAGGTAATGTGAAACGAATGACTGTCCCTAATTTCCAAAGGCATGCTCAATTTTGGGCCAGCTCTACGTTGCAAGCGTAGCCATCACAGAAAAGCAGGTGTTCTACAAGATACAAAAAATGTTTCAACAAAAACAATAGACGGGGCAACAGAAGTGTAATGATGGTGTTGCCAGCTAGGTGATTGTGCCGACCACATCACAAACGTTTGGACTGCGGGATCTGATGATGTCTCCTACCTGTACACGTCTCTGCAGTGTGACTGCACGTCTATGCGCCTGAGTCCAAACACACTGAAATATTTTGGGAGCAGCGAATTTTCTGGGAATTAAGTATGTTCAAATGGGTCACTAGACTGACAATACAACAAGGTTTACGTCTGATGAGTGAGTGAGTGGGGATTCTGGCAGATCTCACCACAGCGAGGTGGAGTTTTCACACTTTCCAGAAGTTTAGTTTGGCGACCACGTTCTTATAACGAATGTTAGCATTCCTAAGGATTCTCTTGGCGCAATAAGGGTTTTCCCTATTTGTGAGTTTTACTATGGGTGAGCATTTTCAAAGAAGAAACGGCTTATTGTAGTGACAGGTCTGTTCAATATTTTCTGAAAGGGTACCGCTATATTGGGGTCTAACCATACCGTCACCACACATCAGACAGCAAAGTTTTTACCAGGGTTCGGAGTGTAAAATCAAAGTAAATGGAGAAATTATGCTTTCTGTACAATGTGCACCACATAGCTGATTTGGACATTGCTATTTTCCAAGTTAACCATCAGTTCTCAACAGAAATGTTCACCGGGAGAACAGAATAAAGGTTGCTCGTCCTGAATGCTAATAAAAGTACTGTCAGGTCCTGGCGTGCTCTTTCCCCTCAAAATTTACGATGGTTCCAAGAAGAAAACGTATTCCGGTGGACAAGAAATATTTTCTTCACTGGGACGCCGTTCATAATTTCTTGCTTTCTGGAAACATGAACGTCATGCTCTGTCGTCTATCAGATTGAAAGCATCCGATTCACTCGGTAAGCACACGAAGTTCAAGTGGGAATTACACTGGCTAACTGATGGCCCAGTGGTCTTATTCCCTCGCGCTTGCTCCACAGAAATCCACTGAAATCCTTCCCGGCGCAATGATGGCTGTAAGTCTCCTAGTGGATTGGCCCGACTGAACTGAGCTCCCCGGGTGTAAATAGGCGTAGAAAGCTAGCAGCCAAAAGAGAACGCCAAAGTGACATTGAACGCATAACCACGTGATGTGAAATGTACGGCCGAAATGTGGATGGCTCTACATCCTGTCTGAATCAACCACACCACCTATCAGCCCTCCAATACCGAGGCATGTGGAGCTCAGGTACTAAACAAAAACTTCGGTTTTAAATTTTCCTGGAGCTTCGTGAGATATGCATCGCTGGTTATGCCCGAAAGTGATCGGGTAGCCAAACATTACTTCTCGGCGTTTGCAGCATAAGTCTACCTGCAGGACTGAACCTCCAAAAAGAATCGGTATCTACCCACCTTACCATTGCCAGAAGATCCCGACAATCAACCGGGTGGATGCATTCCAGTACAAACAGTGCAGCACATTCAGTTGACATCACAAACCAGAGATTCAGCTGGGTTCCAGATGAGTTGCTCGCAGAACCAAAGTAGTTTGCAAATGAGTGTATTTCGCCAATTTCGTGCAATTTGGCTTCAAGTAGTACATGAGGTTGACGAAAACTCAGGAACTGCGTTCACCTGAGAAGCCCCAAGAAGAGTGAAACTTGTCGTGGGGTGTCGAAGAAATTTCAGCAACCTTATGAGTAGTGCATTACGAATATATACTGTATCGCGATATCTCGAATATCGTAGCAACTGAAACATGAGGCGGTCTGGTGTAGCACATTCAGTTGCCTGGAAACATTAAAACATAGGGATCCAGCTAGGTTCCAGGTGAGTCTCTCACAAAACCAATTTTTTTGCAAACCAGTTTGGTTTATCAGTCAACTGGAAAATGTTTGGGACAGATTGGGTAGTCATCGTTTCAGAGGGGCTTGGTAAACAATCTGTGGATTTATTGCTGGGCGAAGTTTCGCTTTTGATACAAGTGAGTAAGCAGGCTGATCGAGTTTTAAGGCGATCATGGAACCAATCCGTGAGGTTTCTCATGACTAGCCGACTTGATCAGTGCTGGGTGTCGGTCCGATGTTCATGTTTGTTGGTTGGTAAGAATGACTAGAATTTACGACAGATTGGTTAGAGGGGAGTTGTCCTCATGTTGAACCCGGATTTTCTGGCCTAGCTTTTCCTTTAGGAGTCATTCACAGATTTTTCTCGACTGTGTTCATCGAGAGGTGCCGAAACAATTAGTTTAAGGTAGGGGATGGATGGACTGGATCTAAGTCTGCTTGGATTTTGCACTTGTAGACCCAGATCATTCAGCTGACAACTGCACACCGTCTCATGTCATTTTGGCTTATCTGAAACCACTCTCCTCACGCTTGCCAGTTCTACGCCCTCTGTTCTATTCACGCTGGGATTCTTGGGGATTCCCATTGCCTCGGACACCAGTCGCTGTGGTGTGAATCCATGTCCATATTTTCCAAATCCATCCTGTGCCACGTCTAGTGAATGGCCTGCAATTGCCGAATCTTTGACTAGCGCTTGATTTTCGTCCACGTTTCTCGGTGGTCTGTTAATGGAACGTTTATGCTAACCGATTCTGGTGTGCAATTCCATGGCTGTCTGACCTATAAAAACCTTTGTACAGTCGCTACGTTTTATTTTGTATACACAGTTCCTAGTTCTATCAACTGGAAGGCGATCCTTCAACGGCACCAACACCGAGAGTAAAGTCTTTCCCTTCTGGAATACTACTCCAATGTTAGCTC